TACCGGGGGTGCCATTTAAAAATCAAAAGTTGTAGTAATTTCCGGTGAAACCGGAAGTGACCGAAAACAACTGAATACGTCAATCAATCCTAATTTATGTCATATACTAACATACCAAATCTCGTTTTTTAACTAAAAAAATAAAAAAGTTATAGGGGTGAGCCACTTTTGAGACGCACCCGGTATATAAATCCGTCATGCGTCATCTGTTGTTGTTTTTAACCAGTTTTATTGGTTTATTTCAAAAATGACAGATCATATTTCAATATTATTGGTTTAACGGAACGATGAACAACAAACGGACGCCGATGTGTATGAATTCGACTTAAGATTTTTGGGAGTTGTCAAACTCTTGCCAAATTATAGATTATAATTTTGTGTCAAATTATGTCAAATAGAAATGATAAATATTTTGCATTTTGGACTCTGTTATTACGTGTTTCGTGTTTTTTTAAATTAAGTGGAGGAAAAACTCAAAAGGGAAATTAAGTGTTGACCTAGACCATGGTTTACAGTTAATATTTGGTGCCCAGAGACAGTTTGCCAGAGATTATGGCCAGAGAGTTTATTAGCCACAAATAAAGTTTGTATCAATGACTAAAGAATCCGAGGACAAATAACACCCGAGAGCAAATTGTGACGATGCCATCAAACAGTGCCCTGGCACATATTTTTCTTAACCTAGCTGTTTGAAGCAATATTTATATTTTTTGATAATTGTTTTGACTACGCCTATGGTGTATCATCCTAATTAATTACGAAAAAAACGTATTAAAATGTTAACAAAAGGTACAAAACTAGTATCGACGTATAGCACATATCAAGTACATATAGATGTTAATTGAAATTGAAGAATAATTATCGAATTCAATAAGAAAACGCTAAAAAGTTGGAGTGGACTGTTTATTTACCTATGAAACGTAACTCCTGGCTCTTTCTTATCGCTGCTGCTTTTACACTTGAAAGCTGAACAACTAATCACCATTATAATAAAGTTTATACAAAGTTTACTACACACAAACTATTAAAAATCGCTAAAATTGTCGCTGGTGACAAAATGATGGCTCATTGTTTGCCACCAAAATAAAAAAAGGTCACAAATTCTGCTGCAGCCCGTATAGGGGCGTTACATGTCCTTGTATTCTTTAGTCATTGGTTTGTATAATATCTTGTATATGATTCCAAAAACTGGAGTATCTGTAAAATAGCAGCACACGATAGGGATAGGTAAATAATAATCATATTGAATAATTATATTGATAAATGTAACAATAAATGCAGAAAGTTGTTTGAGCTTGAAACACGGCTTGAAAGCAGAAAATCTTTTTTGTATCTTTTTGGTATGTGGTGTTTTTTAAAATATACCCTTGCTTGTTTTGTATTAACACATACTGTAATTGTTTTTTCAATTTTATACAGTTTTTTTTTCACAATATTTTGAAGTATAATAATAATTAATTACTTGTCACTCAAATTTTAAATGTATTAATTTTCTGCTATGCGTTCCAATTGTACCAACTTATTTCTTTGTAAAATAAAATAAACTACTTTGAAAATAAAATGATAGACATCTCTATCACTGTCAAGGATCTTATCATTGGATAGACTATACGCCAATTCTAAGTGAAAAACTCTACGGGACTCAATCTTTGCCTTTTATATAATATACTAGCGTGTACCAGCGACTTCGTTCGCGTCGAATTAATCATTTGGAATGTGATGATAAAGCAAAGCAAACATTTCCATTAACATACAAACTGGATAAAATTTTCTCACATTACGTCAGCATGAGAAAAAACAATATGGCGATATTATTATATAACTTGGTAATATTTGAGGGGTAGTTTCATCTCGTTCGAATTTCACTTTCGAAAAATCCGTTTGCCAAAAATAACTTTTTTACGTCAAGCAATTTAAGCAGGATCGTGGTTAAGAAATTACCCAACTTTTTAGAACACCCTGTATGATTTTTTAAAAAATTCAAAATATCTAAAAAGAAACAAAAAAATAATGCTTGTCCAAGCGTTTTCCCGAAAGACTAACCGTTTTTTAAATAACAAATATTGTAATATTTGAGGGACGTTTTCACCCTCTTGGAATTTGAGATTCGAGAAACCCCTCCTTATCGAACCTCTACACCCCACAGTCAATCCGTTTGCCAAAAATCAGCTTTAAACGTCAAACAGTTTCAGAATCGTGATTACTCAATGGTTATATTTTATGAAACACCCTGTATAAATTTATAAAAAATCTTGAAATATGTAAAACAACAAAATAAAATATACGTGTTTAAGAGTTTTTCCGAAAAAGTCACCGGTTTTTAAATAAAAAATATTTTAATATTTGAGGAATAGTTTCACCCCCTTAGAATTCGAGTTTCGAAAATTCCCTTCTTATCGAACCTCTACACCATAAAGTCAATCTGTTTTCCAAAAATCAGCTTTTACGTCAAGCGCTTTAAGCAGGATCGTGATTAATCAATGACCAGATTTTTCGAAACACGTGTTTTAAGTGTTTTTTCGGAAACTTGACCGTTTTTTAAATAAAAAATATTGTAATATTTGACGGGTAGTTTCACCCTCTTGGAACTGGAAATTCGAAAAGTCCCTTCTTATCGAACCTCTACACCCTAGAATCAACCTGTATGCCAAAATTGAGCTTCTCACGTTGAGTGGTTTGAGCAGGATCGTGATTAATCAGTATGTCAGTCAGTTAAGGATTTTATATATTAGCCTTGTTTATATATTCTTAAAGTTGTTCAACCGACTAGACAAAATGTGCTGCCAACTGGAGGACAAATCGTGAACCTTTCAGGGCGGAGTCAAAAATATCGATTATTTTCGTTATTTTCCTCAGAGTAATGTAATAATATAGCCCCGGGTTTCTGCGAACTTTAATAGTGATCAGCTGATTAAGAAATTTAACGAAACTTTTATTTTATTGTAAATTGTGGATTATTTTTGCCTGTTATTTTAAGAATTCTAAACCGTATTAACCTGTATTAACAAAGAAATTATTATTTCGATATGTTGGTACATTATTTATAATTTATGATAATGCTAATTATTGCTATTAATAAAAATTTAAAAAAAAGTTACATACCTATTTTAATTTGATTTAATGCAGGTTTATAAAGGAATTATTTCATTCTTAGATTATTTTATTCTAAATTGAGTGCTTTACGAATTTTACGATATTTTTTTTGAAAACATAAAACTTTTTACATTTTTGATGCCAACTAATTGGTATGGTATTATTGGTATGGGAATTAGCCAAGAAACCATACCTATATCGCTGAAAACCTTAAAGAATTGCGTTTTTTATGAAGTCATGGCTAACTAGGGTTTCCATTTAAAAAAACATGTTTGTATCATATGTCAAAAATGACAGGCTTTAGAAAAAAAACAGAAAACACAGACCCATTAGGTATGTGATTATCTACAACTTTTATCGATCGATGATATCTCCCGATCGATGATATTTCCTATATAATTTTACATATAAAATGACAACGATCTTCATTTCATAGCCATCGTTGACGCCGTTTTTATTCGATTATACGGTAGATTATAATGGAATTAGAGGCAAGTTTTAAAATAGCCAAAATTTGTTTTTTTCGAAATGTCTAGTAAGCCTTGAACTTCTCCGAAAAATCTGAAAGGTGCATATTTATGACCCCACAAAACTGCAATTCTTTCCTCATTTAACCGACTCTCTATCTCCAGTAGTTTCCGAGATACCCATAGAGAACATTGTAGGAAACTCACCTTGTATAGTATTTAGAAACTAACTATTATTATTATTTGACTAGATTAATTTGATTAATAAGATTCGATTAATTTAATTTAAAATAAATTTGATCTGATTTTTTTTTCGTATATTCTACTACCAGAAAACAAAAATTATATGATAACAAATTTTCAACGAAGTTGAAGGAAGATATGTATCTGTCACAATAGTTAATAGAATTACTACAATTAAAGAAGAAAAACAAAAAGAAAAAATACCCAAATACCTTCACCTTCTACTCATCTACAAAATAAACGAATATAATCTCTTATAAAAACACTACACAAATACTTCTTGTATTTTACACTGAAAAAATTATCAAACTTACTAATTAATCATACAAAAAGAAAAAATAACCAAATTATCCCTTCACCTACCACTTAACTACAAAATAATAAACTATAAAAACACTACTATTTCTGGTATTCTACACTAAACATTATAATTAAACTTAATAAAATTAATCTAATTTTACACTACAACTATAAAGAAATAACATTTTTTAAAACTAGAAGAAACAGAACTTCGATACGTGCGACCAGTATAATAGATCAAGCCGACAAAGAATATAAAATACTTAAAAAATGTGCATTCAGAAAGAAAAAATATCTCGAAAATGATCTAAACAAACATTTTTTTTCTTATCAGTGAAAAGCATCGGCCTCGTCGGCCTTGCGGGATTTGTCGGGTATTTACAATGGTCAAATTGTATAATTCCCAGCTTTTAATAGCATATCTAATAGACAAAAAGTATCTGGTCGATTAGTAACCAATTGGCACAGTCCGAAAATTATCGATTTTTATTTTCTCTGTTTTTATTGGTCGCTTCAAAATTCAGAGTAACAAAAAATATTTTTCTGTAGTAAAAGACTGTGAAATACGCCCCGCCATCTGGTTGGTGCTTTACATCCATAAACGTCTTAGGTTGAGCTACTTTAAAAATTCATATACAAGGATATTAGTATAGATAAGTTATAAGATAACCAAGATATGAAGGGGGTCGAAAAATGCAAGCTTTTCAACTTTCGACAAATTTGTATATAGCATTTTTAGTTTCATAAAAAAGTAGTACGGTGATGTGAAAACCGCATCTTTGTATCTCTACTCATAAACGAGAAACCCCAGAAAACACACGAAAATGGGACACCCTGTACAAGCCAATAATAATATTATTATGTTAGATATTTATTTTTGGTTTCTTTTTCTTTCAGCTACGTGCAGGATAAAATTCGAGAACATGGTGAATTGGTTTGGAGAGCTTTAGAAAAAAAGGGATACGTTTTTATTGCAGGCAATTCAAAGAATATGCCTCAGGCGGTACGAGAATCCTTTATTAATGTATGTGAGAAATGGGGCAACTTAAGTAATACAGAAGCTGTAAGATTTATTGAAGTGATGGAAAAAGAAAACAGATACCAAACCGAATGTTGGTCATAGTCTAAATAACAAATTTTAGAAGATATTAAATAAATTTGTATAGAAATACCAAATACATTTTATATTTATAACGATTGTTGAACAAATTATACATTACTATTGTTTCAAGAACTATTCTTTATTTCATTTACAAGATCTTTTTTAACACCATTTCCTTTCAGAAATTGATAGTCTAACTGGTTTTCACTATCAGAATGTAATGTCCTAAACAACTTTTGAGATACAGGGCGGTAAAATCTTCTGAAAAAAAAATGTTCGTGATAACTCTATGTTATTAAGATATCTTTATGGATTTTGATACACATCTCCTATGCATCAAAATACTTTTTTTTTATGTACAAACAATTTTATTTACTTCAACCAGTGGCGCCCATACGGGTTTTATATTGAATATTCTTGTAGAAAAAGATGGTACATCACTGACTTCTTTTAACAGTAAAAATTTCACAAATTTATTATTTCAGTCACATGACTATCTATATACTCAATGTGTTTTTATCAATAATGGCATGTATTGACTATTTCCATTCTAAATATCTTGAGAACGGTTGCTCGTAGCGCTTTTTACCAAGACACGTTTTTTACGTAAAAAGTCACAGAAATATATATTTTTTCACTCAGTAGTTTGACGAAACTTCTTTACCTCTGCGATCATGTAAGCGCATAAACAGTTCTGCATAAACTTTGTATTAAATAGTTTTAACAGAAATTTCAGAAGTCTTATTTCTCGGCTTGAACTTTGATCTAATTGAATATTCTCAGTTTAAGCTCTAAAACTTGCCGACAGATGAATTCGAAACTAAGCAGGGAGTTACCGTAGTTCAGCTGCCGAAAATTCTTTTTAAAGTTTGCACACAATTAATGGAATTTTAGTTAACAATGAACTTTTTCTTGGAGACTAACTTACAAATTCAGTACAGCCATAGGGTGGTTTATAAGTTCCACCCTTTGAAAAACACCGCAAATTTGGAATGTCTCGCGCTCGTCTCGCACTCGACTTCTCAGGTCTGGACGCACCATAACACGATAACTCAAAAACCGCTAAACCGATTTTAACCAAATTTGGCACAAAAATACTGTGGCACCCGAGAATCTGGCCATTAGTTTTTGGTGGGGGTGGGGGTTGGTAAGGGGTATTTTGTATTTTACTAAGAGTGAGTTCCAGGTGGGACCCTCCACTGAGGCCGCGAGGGCCTATTGTGGCTCAGTTTCTACAAGCTCTTTAATAGAAAAAGAGCATTAAAGTTCGCCCTCAAGACCCAGCCTTTTAACATAGGCCGTTATGTCCGAGGGTGATATGTCTTCTAGGTCTGATAAGTCTAGCGTGGGTTTGCCAAACACCTCAAACCTGGTCCTGCCCCAGCGGGCAGGTACACATAACGTGCTTCATTGTTTCGTCATCTTCCATACAGAGTCGGCATTCGGCGTCTTCCACCAATCCCATCCTCTGTAGGTGTGATCTCAGCCGGCAGTGGCCCGTGTATACTGCAGTAAGCGTACGCGCTCCGTTCCTACCAGCCTTTAGGAGTTCATCTGTTCTACGTTTGGATGGCCCTGCTAGGATTGTTTTGGCATGTTCCATTCCGGGACTGTCATACCAGTCCCGAAGCGTTACACCCCTAACCCATTCACAGAGCCTATCTCTTGCGAGATTTTTTGGTACGCTAATGTCGGTTCTGGGCCCACGAATGGCGAGCCTGCACCAGTTTTAGCGAGGGAATCAGCACGTTCATTTCCCTCTAGGCCGACATGTCCCGGTATCCATATTAGCGACACTTTACAGTCTCCTAATATATTGAGGACGACACTTTACATCTCCTAATATATTGAGTAGTTTCTTACAATGAAGAATCGTCTTGGACGTACTTTTCGTTGCCTCAAGTGCTTTCAACGCGGCTTGACTATCCGAAAATATGCTTATTGTTTTCCCGGTGTATTGCTGTTCTACCAGCAGTTGCACACAGGTTTCAATCGCATATAGCTCAGCTTGGAAAATAGTGGTGTGTTTTCCAAGACTCTGGTAGATCTCAGTCTTTGGACTGCTGCTGTAGATTCCTGCGCCAGATCCTTTATCGTTTTTGGATCCGTCCGTGTACCAACACATTTCCACAAATAATAAGCCGTTTCTCGGCTTATCCCATTCGTCCCTATTCGGAAACAGGACGTTGTAGGTGCGCGTCAAGAGTTGGATTGGTGGTGTGAGATCTGAGACCATTCCCAAAATCTCATCCGATTGTAGTTCGTCTACTAGTCGGTTTTGTATGAACATGATTGTTCCTTGGCTCTCTCGTGCCATATTTAGAAACCTATATGTAGCCCATCTCGCCTCCCTCTCCAAAATAATTTGAAGAGGAGGTAAGTCGAGTAGGGTTTCCATAGCTTTTGACGGCGTAGAATGAAAGGCACCAGTCACCGCTAAGCATGCTTGTCGTTGTAATTTTGACAGTTTATTCTTTGCCGTTGTTTGGTTGGCTTTCTGCCACCAGGCAACTGCGCCATACGTGATAATAGGTCTGATGGCTGTCACGTATAGCCAGTACATATTTTTGGGGTTTAATCCCCAGTTTCTACCACAAATTCGGCGGCATGCCCATAGAGCATAGCAAGCCTTTTTTGCCTTTGGTAAGGGGTATGGGAGGGGGTTAAAAATTTGAAAAAATCGTAACTCCAAAATTACAGTGGCTAGCGAAACGCGGTTTTCAATTTAAGATTAGGAATAATATTTGCAACAAAATTTTTAATAACATCAAAATCAGTCAAAGTCGCAGTTGTTGAGATATTCCGTGTTTCCGTAGTCCGTTTATGAGAAAATCCGTGTGGAGAACTCCAAACTCCCATCGGACGCGACCCCAGGTGGCTAGGGGAAATAACCGCCGACCAAAATTGGAAAAATTCCTTTACTTTGAAACTAAAGGAAGTGTCTACCAACTTTTTATTAACATATTTTAGTATGGGCGACTATACGTGCCTCCCGGCGCCAATTTTTTTTCTTGGTCCTTTTTTAACAAGATTGATGTCTTAAGTTTTTCTTAATAATTAATCGATTATTTAAATTTTTTGTAGGAAATAATCTTTTATTTAAAAAAATTGGCGACGTTTCCACGTGTATTTTCGTCTTTATCAACTCGTATTTATTTTTGGTCTTACCTGGGAACGCAATTTCATCTATATAAGAACAAAAAATTACCACATTATTTTTAACACTCAAGGAAGAAGTAATTTAGATCACATGTTCATATCAGCTTTTTTCTTAAAATCGTATGAGGAATCTCACCCTAAATTGTTTAGTCTACTTAAGAAATATACTTTATAAATGTTTAGAGCTGATTAAATAATTGTTCATCTATATTATTTATATTATACAGGGTGGCGCACCTCATTCGCTTCGGTTGATTATACGAAAACGGAAAGATGTACCTAGAAACAAAATATTTTATGGGTATATGTGGGAAGACAATGTGCATAATTTAAAATTATTTTGAAACATACAGGGTATGGCAGAACTAAGATCCACACCAAAGTTATATTTTTTCTTATGGAACACCCAGTATTTTATTTTATATTTGGATCACAAAATGTGTGGACACAAAATAAGGAATTAATTATAAAGGTTAAATATGTTTACAAGCTTTGGCTTTTGAGTTATTTAAAGATGCATGCTATAATAAAAAAGATTGTCAACGCCCTGTATACAGGGTGGGTCAAATTCGACGCTTTTAAAGGAGCACCCTTTTCTATGATATGAGCACCCTTTTCGAGATAGACAAAAACTACTACTGGTGTCTGCTCAATTTTTATCAATCGTGTAAGACCTACTAGTTAAAAGTGGCGAACTTATAAAAACTCTCTGTGGCGGATACAGAGCGGGGGGCCAAGCCCCCCCCTAAAATCTATAAATTGGGCTAAATATTAGGTTTTTGGGTTAACAATGGCGCTCTAAAAAGCATATTCTACATTACATTTTTTTGGGCCCCCCCTAAAATAAATTTCTGTATCAGCCCCTGAAAACTCTGTATTTGGAAGGGGACAAAATATCAAGTGTGCTATATTTTTGGAAAGGTAATTTTAAATTCTTTTTAATAAATTAAAAATATACAGGGTGTCCCAAACAAAAAAAATCAATTTTTCTATTGATAACTCTTAAATTATTAATTTAAAAAAAAAAATACACTTAAACCATTAAATTCTACGTAGAAAGGTGCAAAAAGGTGAAAATGTTTTCACAAAAATACAAAATTTTTCATAGAAAAAAAGTTACAGCGATTTGTTAAAAATGCACATTTTTGAAAAACACCCCGTAGGTAACTCCGAAACGGCAACAGATATCGATGTGCGGTTTTCACCATCATGTTTTGATAAAAATTGAGCTCCAGTCTTTTATATTAGTTTTCGTTTATCTCCTATAGAAAAGGGTGTTTCCTTTTATAAGCGTCCAATTTGACCCACCCTGTACATTGATTTTCAGAATTAATTTTTGTGCTGACTTTTAAGCCAAAGAAATAAACTTTACTAAAAAATTTGATTGCTACGTTTAAAGTATACAGGGGTATAAAAAATTGCTGGTCTATTTTAAATATTTATTTAACATAAACTTTTAAACGTTATTTCAAATATAACACCCTGTATTTTTAAAATAAATCGAAGCGGATTCAAATGCTCTTTCAAACTTTATTAGGGTTTCCTATATCTATCTAGCTCAGATTTTGAATAAGAGCAATTTTTCAATAAAATGACAACCCAGAAGGCTATTGTCGTCATGGCAAGTTTCTAGTGACAGTTAGTAGCTATTTTCATAGATAAATGAAACAAGTTTAGATTGGAAAGTGCCCATAAGGACAATGTAAACACTATTTGGCTCTATTCTGGCAACGGTCGCGACCCAAAACTTTTGAAAATTTCGGAGCGGTTCGGCTTTTTCCGGAATTATATCGCCAAATATTGTTTATTCAAATTTACTCTTATTTTCGTTTAATTTTATAAATAAAATACAGTGTGTTGCATACAAGAAACTTTATTTTATATAAGGACGCATGTATGAAATACCTATGAAACATTGCAAACTGACGTTATGCCACGATCCACGATGGTTTTTGCAGTTCACAGTTCACAGC